ATTATGGAATCTACCTTATACAGTGTCATTGTAGTTGTTGCACCATTACATTAAGAAAATGATGTAAATTCTGAAGTTATAAATTCTTCCACTCTTACAGATTACATACTACATACCATACCAGGGAATTCTATTATTGGATTTTACTTGTTATTATTAAACAAGACTATTTTTTATTTTAATATACTTTTGTTAAGCTATTCTGTCTATGTATACATACATAAATAGAAGACAAATTAGAAATGTGTCCTAAAGTCAAATGATAAAAAATGAAATCAGCTCAATTTTTAATCTTTATTCTTGAGATATTAAAATGGAGAATAAAATGAAGTTAATAAAAAATTGAATTTTTAATGTGTTCATATTAACACAGAAAGTTGTCTCATTTGAAAGCAATCAGAAAACATGTAATTATTTTTGAGAAAGTGAGTGAATAAGAGGACTGTAATAACATGAAGAACAATAGAACGACCTAGGATATCATCTAATTCAATTGGTAAGATTAGTAATATAACATAGCTCATTATAGTTGTTGAATCTCATTCACTTGACAATGTCTTGGTGTGTTCACCTCTGCTCTCTTTCTACTGTCAATTGTTTAAGGCCAAGATGAAAATGTTGGTGAGGTCCTATTGATGACGTGAAGAGTTAACCTGCCATCTGCCCATATCAACTTTCTCTTATAAAGAGACACAATTTATGGAGTGGCTTTTCAAGAGTGTTATGCTTTTCATTTTAATGAGTTGCAAATCTTAAAGAGGAATTTCACTATAATTAGATTTAAGATGTGCATATTTTAAAAGTTCTCCAATTATCACTTCTGTATTTAAAGGGATTGTAAAGAGGTTTTCTAAATTTTTGATGTCTTTCCGTGACACATCAATATACATTATTCCAATTTTCAATCAGACGTCTGTGGTTCCTTCAGTTCTACTAAAACTAAGTGTTTGATGACGTCGCTAATCGCAAAATATGCTTTATCATATAAGGTCTGTCACAGTCAGTGACATCATCTAAAACTTAGTTTTAGTGCAATTCGAGAATCAAAGACGTCTGATTGAAAATTGGAATGAATCAAATTAATGCTATCATTGTCCCGGATAAACATAAGAGTTTTAGAAAACCTCTTAACAATCTCATCTTTAGAGCAATCAGCTCACTGAATTCTGTTTTAAAATTTCTAAAATCAAACATCTATATTATAACATGAAGAAATAAGATAAAAAACAGAAGAAAGCTTCAAATCTACTATCCATTTTGTAAGATTTTTTCATGTAGTATATGTTATATAATATTAGAAAATGAAGATAGTGTCATATTCACAATGTCAAGCTATTATTCAAATAAGAATTTCTTTAAATGTTGTTAGAGATATAAACCTGGCTGTATATCCTCCAAACAATCACAATGTCCGAGGATCTTAACTTTTAACACTGTTTCTAGTGTATCCTAATGCTGTATCCTTTTTTTGGGGATATCTGGGCTGAACTTTTAATTTTTCAGAATTGACATGTTAATACCACAGCATATTTCATGTATCTTGAACACTTGAGATGAATACTTTTACCTATATACAGTTAAGCTGTTATGAAATTTGCTTTCATATTATTTTATAATGTATAAAAGAAAAAACTATTGGCATGTGGTTGTAAAATATTTTATTTTTCTCTGAAAGTGATGTAAAGATGTCACATAATGTGTACTATTTTAATGATGTCAAATATTCTGTATTGACACAGGAATATCAATTTTCCTTTGGTTTTAAAATATTTAATAGCACTGATCAGATTTCTTATAATTATGACTGTTATAATTGGAGATTGGATGCACAAATTGGGATTAAATCTAAGAATACATGATTATTACTGCTTGCAATTGCATTTAACATTTCATTTGAATCAATTTAGTGGTAGTGAGCATCAAAAGACGCTATAAAACCACATTGGATACTGGGGTTTATTGAAAAGTAATTATTTATTTTACAGCCAGATGGCGTTCTGGTTTTAGAAACTGTTTGAGGAGATAAATTTAACATTGTCCAGTTGGAAGATGAAGATAAGCTTTCATTATCCAGTCTTAAGAGGGTCAATTTCTTAATGAATAGCCACTATTGTCCAGTTAAGGACTACTGCTTAAAAGAGATAAGCTCAATTATTTGGGCCTCATGTAGTCAAATTTCAGAAGAATAATGTTACTGGTAAGATAAGCTGATATTGTAAAGATTGAACTGTTCTGGAACAGTAGGCCTGCTACTGGTCTTTAGAATCTAATTTCTGATAAAAGTTCAGAGGTCAACCAGACGAACTATAGGTTACTCTGTCAGAAACAAGAAGGGGTGTACTACAGATGGTCTCAGCTGTTGACATCATCATGTTTTGATGGTCAAAAGAGAATAATAAAATTTCTATTAAAGATTTGTCTTTGATTTGTGAGTGAAGGATTAGATTTCCTAGAGAGGAGCTGTTGTGAGTTGAACTCATTGCCTGAGCTGGTGAAGTGATATAGAGAGAGATATCATTTTAGAAATGATTAAATGGAAATTTTAATGTTATGTCCACAGTAGATCAAAGAAACCAAATAGATTCTTGATTATTTTTAATGGGAGTATTTGAGTTAAGAACCCCAAAGTTTAAAAGTATGAATTTGATTTAGAAATAGGCTACTATGACAAAATGAAGAATGTTATTAATTCCCAAGAATACTATCTCTCAAAATGGACATAAAATTTAAATTCTCAAAATCATTAGATGAATTGCCTTATGTCATAAATTATAACACAATCCCTCTACAATCTGACAATTTCATGGAGCTTTTTTGAAAAAAAATTATTACTTGGCTTTTGATGGATAATTACTTAGTTTTATGGATTTTTTAGGGGATTATGCTGTATCTTATATCACAATATCTCAATGTGCTTCTCTTGAATATCTTAAATCTTATAATGAAATTCGAGAGGGATAAGTAAAAGACATTTTTCTGTACATGTGCTTAATGTCGGAGTGAATTTAAAGAGACTGATGTGCCATTCTTTTTGACCAATCATACTTTAATCTCAGAAAAGGGAATTTTTTAGCTAAACCCATCAGTAATAATCTTCAAAGCTCACTTTCAAAATATGATCTTAAAAGATTTATACTAAGGTTGCATGCTGTTGATGTTATTTCAACCAATTGAAGAGCATCATGCAGAATCCATGTCTGAATACTGACTGAATTGTGGGATAGCGAAACCAAAAGTAGAGTGATATGACCAATCATATTCTGAAATTATGGGACTGCTTGTCAAAAGTGATTCTAATTGGCAGGAATGTGGCGCTTGGTGGTGCTAAAAATAGCTTGCGTAACCTTGGTATATAGTTTGTGATATCAGCATCTGCTGGAAGCGAATGTTAAGTTGTCATCTACCTAGCTTGGTATATATCATGTTAGATTACAATTGAGACCAATTATTATTTAGACTCTTTCATTACTTCTCTCAATAGTATATCATATTTATTTCCCATTCCATTTCTCAATATTGAATGAAATATTACATTCAGATAGTAAACCTTATAACTGTATCTTATTTATTAAACAATTTTTAGATTATATCATTCTGACTGAAAGTTTAGGGCTTCATATTGGAAATTATTGAAATGGAATATAAGTACTTTAAAGGTTTCACTACTTAAGGCACATATTAAAACTGATTTTTTTTTTCTATTTATTGAAACCATAGAGATCAGGAATTATTACTGTGGTTATTTCAGCTTACTTTAAGTTATATAAAGATTTATATGTTAAGAATGGTGTTTTTAATGGCTGTAGTAAATAAATGGTTGATATATTTAAATTTTTAACAAGACAAAATAACAGTTGAAAGGATGAAATATTTTCTGTTTATTTTCACAAGTTTCACATTTTGGTCAGTTTTGGTAGTTGAGCACCATATTGTTCATAAAATTCCATAAATTTGTGAAAAATTGATAATGTTTTCTATTAAACCTGATGATATCTTGGTTGACCTTTTAGATTATTAAAACATGACCCCAGTATAAAATGAGAATTAAAAGGTTGACCTTCATTTATCTGTTATTGATAGGAGCAGCTAGTTGATTGAAATGAATATATTTAGTAGGTTTTTTTTTCTTTGATGACTTGAGTTGAACATCACCATGATGTCTGTCATTAATGTTTTTAGAGTTATTTTATCTTGACATATATCATCATGCTTCTGATATGTTCATCATATTCTTAAAAGTAAGTAAGCAGGACTCATTAACACTGCAAAATTTCCATCTGAATTACTTCTATTTGCTTTTGTTCCAGCTAATGACTTCAGTTAGTTTTTACTCAATTATTAAAATAAAATTAAAATTTTGTATCTTTTTTTTGATATTTTTAATCTCTGATGCAATTTTTATTTACCAAAGGTTGGACTAATGATGTAATTTCTAACCAATCAAAGCGTGTCATGTAGAACAGGATTCTTGATTTATAAGGAACTATGCGATAACAAAACCCAAAGAGGCTGTAATGGCAAAAATGGTGTGCGAATGGTTATTAACCCAATAAGGTACAGATAAGTAGGTCTATAGCTGAAGCTGCATTGCAAGAGATTTAAGAAAATTTCTTGTTTATTTACCTGCTATTCTGCCTGTATTTACTAAGATAATAAATATATTAAATGTGTGGTCTATACCAAGCTGTTAAGTATATTGTGGTATATTTATCTGAAATAAGATTCTAGTCTAATCCTCTAGTTACTGCTAGTTATCTTTTTCTTATTAGTACTGTCAAATTCTTATCACACTTATCAAAATATTAGTTTACATTAACTCTACATGTAGTACCGTGGTATTTCTTTTATGTTGGCACTACCCTGATGGCTACTAATATACACCATTCATTGTACAGCTATTTTATTTTATTACTTACCTAGTTATAGTGCTATACACTTATTATAGTGCAGGACATCAATAAACATTTTAAAAGAAATCCAGAAACGATCATGTGTAGTTAATGAAGGAAGTTCAGAAAGGATCACATGTAGTTATAAAAGAAGTTCAGAAAGGATCACATGTAGTTATAAAAGAAGTTCAGAAAGGATCACATGTAGTTATAAAAGAAGTTCAGAAAGGATCACATGTAGTTATAAAAGAAGTTCAGAAAGGATCACATGTAGTTATAAAAGAAGTTCAGAAAGGATCACATGTAGTTATAAAAGAAGTTCAAAAAGGATCACATGTAGTTATAAAATCAAATTTGTGGAATATACGTTTTTACAGGAGATGTTATTTCCTTCTTAAGAAAATTCTGAGGATGCCAGGTATTTCTATTTGATGATAAAATGTATGTATCTTTGATGATCAAGTGAGATATTTACATGGTAAGATCTTGGCTATTGCCTTCAAATTTTAGAACATTCGAGCACAAGAGTTTTAATTTGTGACCAATATTTGTTTTTGATTTGTGATGACTTGTTAATTTTGATAAAAATGGAAATGTTGTAAACATGGAATTTTGATAAAATGATCATGTAAATTCTTGTTTATTTTTGTTGTATACATGATGTGTTAAAAACAAATCTCACATTTTGAACCTAAGTAAATAGATAATTCATCAAATGATCAGATTTTCTCTTGTTAATTGATTTAGAAGATTTATTTGTTCTGTTTGTTTGTGAGTGTATGTTGATAGATGTATGTAATTATGGTAAAACTTTACACAAAAATTGAGGTTTATAGTAGGATCATTCGTCAAACAAAACTAATAAACACACTGTAAACATAAAAACATATTGATAATATATAATAATCATATACCTTCCAGCTACAACCATTTTCATTATATACCTTCAAACTCTTTATTAAAGATAACTTGCCCTAAACTTTTAACTGATGTATGTTCACTGATTATCAGTTAAATTTTTGATCCCAATATTGTAGCAATTTGTAAAGATTTAAATCTTCAGGTTTTTCAGCAGGACTTTCTCTTGTTTCGTTCCGTTTTTTTATTATTAGCTTCAGTTAGAGTCTAACAACGGCCTTCTTAAAGATTTGTCAATTTAACCTTTTGACCTAACTTGATGACGTCTGCTTTAACCAATCAAATTTCTACCTTCTCCAGCTCTGGCATTTTGTGACTGGTGTTTATCAGGTTAGGTCAAAAGATCAATATGACGAAAATTTAAGAGGGCTGTCGTTAGACCTTAATGGCAATATTAAATATAAAAGCTAAACATGGAACAAAAGTTTGGTTTAATTTTAATTAGGCTGTAATGCAATATCAAGTGTCTAGTATAGCACTAGTTCCTGCTCATCTGTATAGGATAAGAATCAGTACAGTACAGTAAAAAATTTGTGAAGTTATTTTGGTCAGTCAGCAGTTTGTGAGCATTGAATGAATTGGTGCAATGTAAATGCTCTGAAAATGGTTTACTGTGCATCTACAAGGACTCATTGCAACTTCTCAAGAACAGTTTGCAACTATTCTACAATTGAAGAACCACACTCAGACAACTTGATTCTATTGTTATCATGTTAATAGGCACATTTTACATTGGAATTTCTAAGTGGTGAAACATACATGTTATTGAATCAAAATAGTTAATTGGATTTGTTTTGTTGAAAAAGAGGTATCCAACTTGAAAGATTCATTACCTATTGAAGACATTAGTCTATAGTCTATAGCCTATCTACCTATAATATATATGATAGTCATAAATCATGATGTTACAGACACTAGATCAACAAGGGGTAGTATTGTTAGGTGTTCAAATCTTGTTAATATCTTATTATTTAGCCTTTCTTTCACTCTACCCTCTAGCTATTGTCAACATAAATCATCATTGATAGCCAATAGACATTTGTATCAAATTCTCCATCTGTCTGTCTGACTGTAAAAGTGGATGCTTACTAGATGTTGGTTATTGTAGGTACATGTTCATTAAACCTCCTCAAAAACACATTACTATCATGAGACTTTGAATGGTATTTGAGAGTGTTTGGATATACTTTGCCAGGATCAAATGACCATCTTATAATTTGTTACAGACCAATAGTCTGAGTGGCTGAGTGTTTTCTATGTAAAGAATATGGATTTAATAAAGATTTAATTGAGGACTGAAGTACTGAAATGGACTTACTTCTTTGACATAGATCATAAGGTGATTCTAAGACAAATATGGCTCTTTTTGTAGAAAGGTGTTTATGAAGGCTTTCAAAGGGCATATTGTATTGGTAAAAAATCAATTGATAAGATATCTTTTGATTTGAATGTTATTTAAATAGATTATTAAGAGATTTTCTAAATTTTGTGTGTTTATTGGGGACACTGATAACATGATTTTCACCTTTCCGATTTTCGATCATTGTCTGTGGTTTCTGGAATTCCACTCAAACTTAGTGTTTAATTACATCATGAATCATGTGATATATTAAAAACATATTTTGCAATTGGTGACATCCTCAAAAATTTAGTGGAATTGCAGGAACCACAGATGTATGATTGACAATTGGAAAGGTGCAAATTGATGCTGTCATTCTCCCTGATACACATACAAAATTTAGAAAACCTCTTCACAATCCCTTTAGGTTTGGGACAGATGTTTTTCAATTGTTGTTCTTATCATACTATTTTTTTTCTATTACAGATGAAATCTGCTGAACAAGACTATTGCTTCAGACCAAGAACCTCAACTCCTATAGATTTTTGCATGGAAGATGAGATACCTCATCATTATTTAAGTCTTTCTCAAAGTAATATTGCTGAAAATAAATATGAAATTCCTAGGATGGAATCATTACCAGCTTCTCCTATAAATAGTAGAAAGAAATCTGCCTACATGTCATCCCAGGCTAGTGATAAGCCTCACAATATGGAAGGAATAGCAGTAAAAAGATGTCGTTCTAGAATCAAGCAAGGTGGTGTCTGTTGTGAACACTGTAATAGTTGTTTAATTGAGTTAAAGAGACAAGCTCTCAGGATTATGTTTCCAGGCGACTCAGGATTAAGAGTAAGTCAGTTTTTTAAATCTTTCAAATTGCTTGCTAATATGTATTTCAGATGATGGACAAAGATTCTTGACATACATATACCATCAAAGATGATTCATATAGCATAGGAAAGCATTAAGCATATGAAATACTTGTGTACATGTTACATAATAAAACAAGCAAAGACACTTACCCAATAAATTTTCGCTGTATCAAGGGCTGTTACTCTGTCATCAAGCGCTACATCATACCTTAATTTGAACTAGTCCAAGATCTTGTAGGTATTTACATACACACCAAACAATAAAAATGTTACCTCATAAGCATGTGGGCATATATTAAGTCTAATCACTAAGTCAAATTATAAAGGTATTAGGCCTATGATCAAATAGAAATTTATATATTTCAATCAGTTGCGTTACCTAAAGAATATTCTTCTAAGAAACTGACCAAACTTGATTTATATTATTCACTGTATTCTCTTTAAAAAAGAAAGGTTGATTAAATCAGGTTCTATAAAAGTCTGTAATAAAGATGGCGTAACAAGGCAATTTCTATTCAGCACTAATATAAACTTGTTCTTAATGTGTGAATTGAGATGATACACGTTTTTATGTGTGAATTGAGATAATACATGACTCGTATGATTGAAAGCATGCAGAGTCCCAGGAGAGCCATTTTTGACAAATTACCAAAAGCTAGTTTTGTCAGAGGGCTTTTTTGTCTGAACTTTTTAGCACAGCATGCAGTAACTAATGAGAGAAATTAGGTTTAAACTAATGCATGGTGTGAAGGAAATTGTACTATTACTCATTGCATTGTGTAATTAGAATTCAAGACTCATTGAAAATTACTTGTCATTCTTTTTGCTACGTGGGTCACAAATGTCAAAAAGATTTGTATTGATATTAATGTATAGTTATCAATTACTTCAATGGCTGGCAGAAAGAAAAGATTTCCAATTGATAATTGTTTCATTTAATTAGATCTGTTTACGCTAATTTGATGAAGTGCTGCACCAATGAATAATGAGATATGACGTAATTCTGTCAAATGGTATGTCACATTTGATTATTCATGTGATAGAACCCATACTCCCTTTCCATAAAAATATTGAATACTATTGTTTTTTTTTTCAAAATTCCCAAGTCAAATCAAATAGTACAGACACTAATAAATACCAAGTAGTACATTGTTGTAGACTAGATTGAAATATTTTGGATGTGAGCAAATTATAATTCAGTGGGTTAATTCAATTTTGAAAAATCACTCTGTTTCTGATTAGACATCTATGGTAACCTACCTTTGGGGGAGGATTTCATGACTCTTTTCACCAATTTTGACAACTAACACATTAGGAAAAATAACAGATTTCTAAGTAAGTGTGTGGATTTAAATCAACATTTTTTTTTTATCAGAATTTGAATTTTTGAAAATCATTAAGCCATAAAATCAATGAGGACCGAAATACATACGTATCTATCATGGATCATTCCAGAGAGAATCCTGTTTTGATTTAAATTCTTAAACATGGCATCCACAGAATAGGATTGTTGCACTTATATTTACAGAACCAATGATTGTTCTACAATATCCCCAATCATACCTGATATCATTATGACACAATACAAACTGGAAACTGTATCTTGATATCATTATTTCCCAATTAATGCTGAAAACTGTATCCTGATATCATCATGATCCAATAAATACTGAAAACTGTATCTTGATATCATTATTTCCCAATTAATGCTGAAAACTGTATCTTGATATCATCATGATCCAATAAATACTGAAAACTGTATCTTGATATCATTATGATCCAATAAATACTGAAAACTGTATCTTGAAATCATTATGACCCAATATACGCTGAAAACTGTATCTTGATATCATTATGACACAATAAATGCTAAAAACTTATCTCATATCATTATGACCCAATTAACACTAAAAACTTATCTCAATATCATTATGACCCAATAAACGTTGAAAACTGTATCTTGAAATCATTATGACCCAATAAACACTGAAAACTGTATCTTGATATCATTATGACCCAATAAACACTGAAATCAATATCTTGATATCATTATGACCCAATAAATGCTGAAAACTGTATCTTGATATCATTTTGACACAATAAACGTTGAAAACTGTATCTTGAAATCATTATGACCCAATAAACACTGAAAACTGTATCTTGATATCATTATGACCCAATAAACACTGAAATCAATATCTTGATATCATTATGACCCAATAAATGCTGAAAACTGTATCTTGATATCATTTTGACACAATAAACGCTAAAAACTGTATCTTGAAATCATTATGACCCAATAAACGCTGAAAACTGTATCTTGAAATCATTATGACCCAATAAACACTGAAAACTCTATGTTGATATCATTATGACCCAAGAAACACTGAAAACTGTATCTTGATATCATAATGACCCAAGAAACACTGAAAACTGTATCTTGATATCATAATGACCTAATAAATGCTGAAAACTTATCTCATATCATTATGACCCAATAAACGCTAAAAACTTATCTCAATATCATTATGACTCAATAAACGCTGAAAACTGTATCTTGAAATCATTATGACCCAATGAACACTGAAAACTGTATCTTGATATCATTATGACTCAATAAAAACTGAAATCCATATCTTGATATCATTATGACCCAATAAATGCTGAAAACTGTATCTTGATATCATTTTGACACAATAAACGCTAAAAACTGTATCTTGAAATCATTATGACCCAATATACGCTGAAAACTGTATCTTGAAATCATTATGACCCAATATACGCTGAAAACTGTATCTTGAAATCATTATGACCCAATAAATACTGAAAACTGCATCTTGATATCATTATGACCCATGAAACACTGAAAGCTGTATCTTGATATCATTATGACTTAATAAATGCTGAAAACTTATCTCAATATCATTATGACCAAAAATGCTTAAAACTTTATGGTTGACAGGTACAGTTAAATTGAAACAATAGCATATGAAAAGATAGGCCAATATAAATGAAAGGGTCTTGTCACATGATAAACCAGCCTTTATTTCCGATAGCAAGATCCACATTCATTCGTTAAATATTGTCCACCACAAACTAATACTGATGTTAGTTTTGAAGATCACACATTTTTCTGTTGTCAATTCTCTGTTATCTACTGCTGTGTGTTTATTGACTTGTCATGCAAGCTATCTTTTTTTTGTATTTTGATTGATTGACAGGTGAATTCATTATTTATTCAATTAATTAGGAATTTCAATTAAATTCTGAGTAAATATGATAATACGATGGCTCTTGTCGTATTTTGACTTGTCTTATTTTGACGTCTGTTTCAACCATCTTGACTGTCCCTATAATAATTCTGTTTCTGCCCACACTCTGCTTAGTAGAAACCTAGATACTGACAATATGAGACTCAAGCAATAGAGAATTTAATACCCCTGTCAATAATAATATTCTAAAACTAATAATGGCTCACCACACAATTGTTTTGTGGTATTTTTGATTTGTTAATTTGAAGACATTGCTGCATTGTGACAGATGGTGGAGTTAGTTTTAACTCATGTCTCTCTCCAAATTAATCTCCCATCCTTTCTTTGTTTTCTCAACTTTTCCAATATTTTTATGATATTTTTACGTGGAAGTTGTCAGATTGAATTTGGAAAGTGTAAATTGAAATGAAATGTAAATGTTCAGACTGTCAGTCCTCTTAAAGGGATTGTAAAGAGGTTTTCTAAAAAAATTTATGTCTATCGGGGACACTGATAGCATCAATTTGTGCCATTCTAATTTACAATCAGGTTTCTGTGGTTCCTGCAATTCCAATTAAACTATGTGTTTAATGATGTCACTAATCGCAAAATATGCTTCTATCATATACGCTATTGATGACGTCATCAAACACTTAGTTTTAGTGGAATTGCAGGAACCACATACATTTTCTTTGATTGAGAATGGTGCAAATTGTTCTATCAGAATTACAAACCCTTTAATTTTACAAAATTAAAACAAAGTTATTCTTATTAAAACTCTTGAGACCTGAACCATACAAAAATATAATTGAGTTTCATGGCTATGATTAATTTGTCAGGATTGTTGGAGCATGATGACTCCTAGGGTCATAGTGCTGTTGGCACTGTGCGTTTGTTGACTCAATTTGTGCAATGATGGTAAAAGAAAATTCAAGTTTTAACATTAAAAATACCGTACGTGGAAGTTAGTCATGATTTTGACTGGTTAAAAGTAAAAAGACTTATTTTTGTTGGTGAACTGCAATATAGAGAGCAATATTGCAAAGTGTAAAGGTGTCACAAATAGGGTACAAGTAATGTATCATTTTAATGGAGTTTTACTTCTTCTGTAAAAAAAAGTATTCAACCCTAGATTGTCTACTTGACATCTGAAGAACAACTTTTAGGAGACAAATCAGTTGAAATAGTAAACCCTTCTACCCAATACAAATCACCATGTTTAGGAACATTCTATGGACAATCTAACAACTGTTTGTAAAATTATGCACTTGTAAGCCTCAAAAATGTTGTTTTATTAATTTCTATTGGGTTTATATGATCACATTTTATCGTGAGTTAGTGATTCATATTGAAAAATTGTCAAGTATTGTCATTGACAAGTGGTATACTCACAGATGAACGTTTTGCCAAAATCTTTAGAACAGAATTGATTCTTATTAAAACGTACAAAAACTGTAACAGAATTGTTGTAAAACATGGATTGAGAAGGATATTAGCATGTGAAACATCTATCTAGGTTGTCAGTTTAAATGACAAGAACTTAGAATTGTTATCAATAACATTTAACCTCTATATTTTCAGCCTGTCAATTATATTCAAGTTGAAGAAATGTTACAAGTGCCTGAAAATTTTCGTCGTTATGTCAAACGAGAATGCTGTGATGTTTGTGAAACTCCCATCAGACAACTGAAACAGGAAGCTGTCGCTATGATCCAATCCATCCAACAAGCCCAGAGTGCCTCATCTCATCCTGCTAATATTTCTGCTTTAGTTGGTTCTTATAATATTAGTGCTCACCACCATTCTAAAAGGTAAGTGGAATTCTTTTTAGTTTCCATGGGAACCTTGTTTTAAAGAAATCTAAAGAAATATTGAAACACATATTGAATTTTGAATTTTTACATCAGAACTGATTGCTTTGTTTTTAACTGTTCTTAAAGAGATTGTATAGAGGTTTTCTAAACCTGTTAGATAGCATCAATTTGCACCATTCCACTTTCAGATGTCAGATTCTGTGGGTCTTGCAAATCGACTTAAAGAAAGCATTTTATAATGTCACTATTGCAAAAGTTGCTATTAATATATAAGGACATCTGCGATAGTGGCGTCATAAAACACCTAGTTTTAGTGAAATCGCAAGAAACACAGACGTCTGATTTGAATGGTGAAAATTGATAATATCAATTTCTCCTATACACATAAAATAAGATTGTTTCTGAATCTGTTCTCATGTAAGATTCAAAGTGCATTTTGATTGATATGTTTCAAATCAATATCAGATTGTTTTCATTTTACCATCGTAAATTGTGTGAACATGGCTTCTAGTGTTAAATTATCATTGTTTTGAAACTTGTTCCTTTTTAAGTTTCAAGAACAACTAGTTGTAAACATGTCAAAATTTTACATGGGAAGTAACTCCTGTAGTAATAGTGACTACTGTTTCTACTGACAGTTTCTTCCATTACAAGTAGAATATTGTAGAGGATGTGGTTATTATTGATTGATGTCAATTTAAGTTGTCTGTAGTTCACATGGCAGATTACTAGTTTCTCACCCTTATATTGAACAATTGAGGAGACTTTGTTAGTTGAGTTTTAAGCATCGAGGAAATATGTTAGTGGTAGCCTTCGTTTTCAATATTAAACATAACTGTACAATACTTTCAACATTTTACTCCATATTATCATATAAATAAATAACTTTACACTTTAGAGTTTTTGTTGTCTGAATATACACTTTATTCAAATTCTAACAGTAATTTAGTACTATAACCTGACAAATCTGACCCTGTTTGTTCCTCAGACGTGATATATAGATATTATATTGTCATAGTTAGGGCCAGACTAATAAGGTACTATATTACCACAGTACAGATAATGGTTAGGATTTTTCCTCCTGCATACAACTCCATAAGTTATACCTCAACTGGATAGTGATACTTGGTGAGGCACAAGGTCATTGCAGAAATGTCTTGATGTATTCATTATTTGGCTTTTGTCATTTTAAAAAAATAGCGATACGAATATAAAATGTGACCTTTTGAGTAAGGCCTATACCGTGACAAGATCTCATCTGTTTATCATGTCTGAAGAACAGGTAGTCCCGAATTTTTTTCTGGCGAGTAGTATTGATGACATTTAACATGATATTAGTAATATGGTAGTGAAAATGTTGATGATCATGCCAATGACGACAATTTCAACCTCCACAGAACCTTTATGTAGAATTCCTGGAGAAGCGTAGTATGTTATATTTAAAATGTGATTTAATGTGATGTATGTGGCTGAAATTGAGCTCTATCAGTTTGTAAAGAAAATTTTTAGCTGACTATTCATTCAGATCTTTTTGTAAATTTTGGTAATGACATTGCAAGGTTTGAATTGACTATCATGTAATACTAATTAGTTGTCTGGATTGTACCTTAATATTCTAATGATAAAACAACATCAATTTAAAGTAATACTACTAAATGGATATTAAAAATTAGACCAAAAAATGGTAAGACAATAACAAGTTAAGTAATTAAAACTAGAAATAAAAACAATGGCAATTATTAAATTGATTGTCAAATTTTGTCGACATTGCACGATAATCAACAAGTTTATATTAGATGAAAAAAAAAAGGTTCTAAATTATGCTGTTTTGTGTATTAATTGTTAAGCAAACAGTTTAAAGGGACAGGTGTGTCATTTTAGGAGGTTTATTTGAGTCTTGAATATATGTAAATAGTACTAGAAATGTACGAAAATTGCATAATTCCTTCAAAAATACTTCAAACTAGGAATATTACTCACTATTTCTATAAATGTCTTTTCTATATATCACAGAGTATCTTTTCTTGACGAGTCGTCATTTTAACATTCAAAAGGGGATAATTCTAGATACACATGGATTTAAAGGCTCAAATTTCAATGGTGAGCTGTGAACACTAAACTGAAAAATTCTTAATTCTGAGACTAACGTATGATTGGTAAAAAAGAATGGTGCATGTTTTGGGCCCCATTAGTTGAAACCTTAAGAATATGTAGGTTCTACAATTTGGCATTTTACTTTAGAATTTATTTTTCTGACACCAACACAAACCAAAAGGTTTCTTACACCCTTGAAAATTAATGGCAAGATTTGTGTAGTCAAGTGGTTTAGACTGCTTAGAATCGTGTCATTACTGAGGTCATTGCTCATGACTTGTCCAAAAATATCCATTCTGACTTGGGAATAGATTAATTGATCAATCCAGCAGCCAGAATGAAATTTGTTCTTAAACACATTTTGATAATCAATGAATTGTTGTTTCATTTGTTGAGTTATTGACAAATATTTTATAAGGATCATAGACATAAGCCTGTATGCATTGTTTAACACAATGTAGAGAGAGTACAAACTCTTTCTTATACCTTGACATCATTAGACATAATTTCTTGTATCACATGTGATAAAATGCAGAAAAGTAGGAACTAAACTCTATTAATTTCGTTTCTTGTATCATCCTTAATTGTGAAAGCAGTAATTTAATTGGATTGTATGCTAGTAAATACAGCCAATCACAGCCCTTGACAGAAAGACTATAAACAAATAAGCAATATTATATACAGTCTTTCTGACAGGGCTCATGGTGGCTGCATTGGCTACAGTACAATCCAATCAAAATGTTGCAAGTTAAGAGATACACAAAAAGTGTCAAATGCTGTCAAGGTATTAGATGGAGCTCCTCGTGAAGTTGTTGGCATTTTAGAAAATTCTAAGATGTTTCAAAAGATAAGCTTATAGATGAATTAGATGAATGAAAGAAAATACAAACAGTTCAAAATATTCATGCTATCATGTAGGCCCATTGTACACAATTCCATGGCTACCTTTTTTCTCTTATAAAGAGATTATTGAATAAACATGGAACATCTTGATATCCGTCTAATCTTGTATAACATGGTGACCTTCTCAGACAGGTTTCACAGGTCAAAACTGGAATCAATTTCATAATAAAATCTTGGTATGATTTATTCCATTGCATAAAGTAAAAATGTATAATTGGTGATGCAGGTCAACTGCAACTAACGGAAATGGTTTCCATTGATTCAAAGATTGAAAATATAATGAAGAGAAATGGAGGCTTGTCTAAAGAGTTAATGAAACATAAAATAATAAGGAGAAATTAATTAAAAGAATGTAATCAGTAATTCTCCTCATTGATCATGTCCAATTCATCTTGTTGTTTGGCAAGTACAGAAATCTATTAGTGTACAAGGCAGAGGGAATTGAAATTTTTAGAGATCGCCAGCAAGTCTGATTGGTAATAGGCCTGTTGCTAAAGGGGGCGAGGGAAAAAAATGGATTGCCCTCCACCCTAAACCATTCTGACAACTCCAATTCCATTACTGCAACCGAATACTTCACCATTTCCTCTCTGGACTTGCTCAACAAACAATCAAGTCTGATCGGTAATGGTGATTTGGTTAATGGTAGTGATTGTAGCCCACCACCATAATTCAGTGACTTGGGGCAATCCCCATCACATAGGTCTAGTTTAACAACAGGTATATAAGAGTCTTTGTGAAGAACAGATCAATTCTTATTCCATAAAAAGTGTGGATTTTTTAAGTTATTCTATGAAATAACAATTTTTTTCGCTGCAATTGTTAGAAACTTTTTATAAGACAGTGGACGATAACCACTTCTATCAACTATATTACTATGGTCAGACTTATATATTTGCAAATGAACATGTGTATAATTTTGAGAAATAAATATTGTTTAAATTAACGATATTACCAAATATCACAGTTATAAAGTTATAAATTAATATATATAGAAACTTTTAGGATCAAATGTTAATTTTTATCCCGTTACCCCTTATCACAATACGTATCATATTGTGACCCTTGTATCACGATACGTAACGTATCGTGACATGATTGACGATTCCCAGCACTAATATTTACTTCTATTTTTATCCCATTACTCCATATCGTGATATGTATCATATAGTGACCCTTTTATCGTGATATGTATCATATCATATCGTGACATGCACTAATATTTACTCCTATATTTGAAATCTAGTTGGGAGTGCTATTAAAAAAAACCTTAAACTACAATTTTTTTAGTCAGTTTTAGAAAGGTTGTGAATGACATGGTTTTTATTGTAACTTGTGACTAGTTGGATGATGCTGATTGTAGTATTCTACAGAAGTTTGTATCTAAAAATCAGATTTAATCACATGATACTGAAACATGCCAAACTGTAATCATGTTGAATTATTGTCACTAGCCTCCAGGCCTGATTAGCAGCCATTCAAAAACAAATTGTCCCAAAAGCTGAAATTCTGAAATAATCACCTCCTTTGGCTACAAACCTCATGATGACATGGAAACATTAAAATACAGTTTAACTTTATTAGTGGTGATTTCATGTTTATACCAATTACAGCTACCAATATTTTATAGTACTTCTAACTTTTATAGTCATCCTTATGTTAATCATACAATTAAAATAGCTAGAGTTAGTAGATTTAGGAGATGAGTTGGACTAGAGATATTATGATGACTATGCTGGTATCAGATCTCATTCACCAATCTAGTAGAATGTATCTATTGTTGATGATATATTACTTACAACTATTTTGAAAAAAAATCAATGAGAGATGGATGTTATCCGTATATTTTTTTTATGAATTTTCGAGCGATTTTCTGATATTATTGAGTAAGATATATGGTGAAATGTAGGTTTTTAATAAAAACTTCTGATTCAGTCCAACTTAAGCTGAGCTTGATGTATAAACTTACGTTCTGGATTTGTTAAAAAAAAACAAGTACGAACAATCCGAACTGCAAAACAAAACCTGAAATCCAAAACAACAAAAAATTGGTAGCAGTAAATTAACTTTTCACATGAGGAAGTATATCAATCATAAATGAATAAATATTTCAAAATGAAAAGTGGTATCAGGTGTCTTGAATAGTAAGCATACCCTACGTGGTGCCACATCCTTCATAGCTGCTCAAGGTTCCATGTTAATTCTGGACTGAGGCAAAGTTGATTATGCTTTTATTATCTATTCATCTTTGAAATGAATTTATAAATCCTATCTGATTGGGTAAATAAAAATAGTTGACACCATGCAGTGTACAATGAGAGAAATGGTGACTGGTGTTCATTGAAAGACACCATTTGTTATATCTTGATGGAAATTCTGATTTCAATATAACAAAGGAATTCTGTTATACAAAGATTTGGTAAGAATGGTGCTAATGAATAAATCATTTTTTTTGCTTCATTTGAAGATGTGGAAACACACGTCTGTGAATTTTGTGTAATTTAACTAACATTTTGCCAGTTGCTTTAAAAAATACTTCTATTGAAATAACAGTCTAGAGTATATTTTTGTTTTAAAATGTGTCGCATAATTTTTCACAAATCTGTTTCTGAATTAAAAAGGACAAAAAGAAAGATTCTAGGAATAGATTTCAAAAATCAATGCGACCTTTTGTAGTAATTTATATTGTTTTTTAAATGAGGCATGACCTAAAAATATCTTGTCTCAACTCACGTCTGTCATTTCATTTCTTCCATTCATTTCATGACGGTCATAGAATTATCAATATTAGAAATCGAGGTTAGTTTACACAAACACAGTCTAATCAAAAACAACATTTTCAATTTCCTCATCAGTGAATCCTAGCCTGGCCTTGTTCAAGTCTAATCAGATTGTTTGGTCTAGTGTTGTATTGAGACGATGGAATAACTGCCAGGATTATAGAATTGTTTAACCATACGACTCGGCACTGAAGAAATATTAATATGGATCAATAAGCTAGCCACCAAGCGTTTTATATCTTTTTCCCAATTTGGACACCTTTTCTATTCTGGTTGAATGTAACGGAATGTGATTTAAGTCGTCAAGTTGAGTTGTCTTGTGAAAACGTTTTGTATTGATCAGGAAGGGAGTTATTAATTAGTCAGGCACTATCCTATATAGGGTAGGTTTGGAATCGGAAATTGTTAAGAATTGACTATAATAGTGAGTAAGGTATAAATGTACTAGCTATATTAGGAATAAGAAGTGTATTTTTTAACTTAGTGAAACTTACCGAAGTTTATTAGTGTTTATAAATGGCTAGTGACTAGATATATATGTTCGTTATTTCTATATAAATTGTGTATTTCAAACTCTGCTGGATATTTACACAGGTAAATGATTTATTTGATAAGTTTTTTGTATTTTTGTGGATCTATCATTAGAAATTGTTTTTTGAAAATGTCATTTTGATCACAGAACATTTAACATTTAAGCACAAACCTCATGTAAAATTTGATTTGATAATTTTCATTAAAAAGAATGACAAGGTGTTTTATATCCTTTGAAGTTTCATATTCCAAAATTCTGATTAATTAACAAAAAGTATTAATAGCTTGACACAACGCTTTCATTTTTAATTTGTTATATGAGGAACAGTATTTAAGGGTTTAGCTTATGCATGAGAAATGTTAAGTGCTTTTTCCCTCATTAAGTAAAAAAAAATGAAAGTAAAATATAAAATTCCCAAGGTAATTTGACAATTCACACTTGAAGATTGAAAAGGAAACCAGGTTTTTGTTGAAGTTTTTAATAATGATTTGTAAAGGGAAATAATAAGCTAGTATAAGTATTTAGTACTTATTGAAAGTGATTAGTTCCTTTCTTAACCATTCATTAAAGTTCTTACAAGTTTCTTCTCATCATAGTATTAAATCTTTAAGTAGGTTTTTACTCTTTCACCTTGTTATATCATTTTCTTACAATTCTATCAGATCTCATTCTCTTTTAACAATTTTTGGACCGGAAATGCCTCATTGTGAACTAATTTTTCATTCTCTTGTAAAGGGTCCTTTTTCAATTTGTAAGTTTGAAATTTAAGTTTTGTTCCCTACATGTATATCAAATTTAGATACAATACAAATCAATTACATCTGTTGATTAATATATGTCTTGAGTATATGTGAATAATTTCAGAAGTATTAGAAAACTGCATTATCCTTGAAAATATACTTCAAATTTTTACCATCTATTTCTATTAAGTATTTTATATATATGGCAGAGTCTCAAGAAAAGAGGAGTTGTTACTGTCTCTTTAAATTGAATTTTTGCATTGCATGGCCCAATACAGTTTTCAAATTGAAATAACTTAAATGATCTGAATACTGTTTTGGTCATCCTCTGAGGTATATTAATCGTAATATATTATTATTTGTAGATCTAGATCCAGTAGTAGAAGTACTCCAATTAAGACTTCACTTCAACCACCTGGTGTTACCCTTCAAACAAAATCACAAGCTTACATAGGACAGAATGCACGAAGCAGGGTAAAACATTTAAAACATAATCAGGTAAGCAAGTTATTGATACCATGAGTCTATGTCTGTTGTAGTTCCATTTCTGAGTTAAGTCCAATATCCAGAAAATGAAGAGACCAGAGAATCAGATCCCAAATTTTTTTTTATTTTAATTGAAAAAATTGATTATCAAATTTCAAGATGGTCATTTATAGAGAAGGTTCACCTAATACGGTGATCATATTCAGATTGAGCCATTCTCGTTCTTAGCTAGAAACCATCATGCATGTCATGGTGCAGAGATTAGTAACCTGTTCGCTAACCTTATACCCCAAAGCCTCAAAAGAGACCATTACATTTTCTTGAAGACTTTGTTATCATTCTATGCCATTGTTGTTTACATCAGGGTAACTGAAAGGACTTATTTCAATTTCTTCAAAAAAGAGTTCTTCAGAGAACAAGAACCTTTCTCAGACCAAAATGACACTTTCTGTTTCATAAGCCCTATTAGTTACAGAAGTTATATTTCCTTCAAGGCATTTCTTAGCTTAAATCCCGTTAAAATACCTGAAAGAAACAAAGGACAAAATCTGGAAAGGATGATAGCAGGGCTATCTATCTTCATTATTCAAAATCTCAGGAAGTCATTGTTTTTGATTGTCCTGGTCTAGTGATATGATACACATGTATTAAATAGTGTCTATAGTGTATAATATATATAATAGGCTATGGATAAATATGATCAATATTAGAATATAATAACTACAACTCTCACATTGCCAGTAGGTTTTTTACTAGATATAGCGTGACTTGATTTCGTTTAGAAAGAAAAGTGTGAAAACCTTGACAGCCTTTGGAACATTTGTGTGCTGATAGTTAACTTATTCATAGAATTTTCAAGTAAATCAGATTTATTGGAACTCACTGTGTTTTGTGCACTCTCGAAGGAGATAAGAATGCAAATATGACGTGGGCTCAATTTACGTTATGTCAAAACAATAAAATCTCACCAGTCTCAAGAGGCTTGATGATCGAAAAATTTTATCTCTGTTTAAATGTCATTTACATTTCTTTTGCTAGAATCTGATATTGCAGGTTATTAGACATGATTATGATATGTATTGTAGATGTTATGTTGAGTTTATGTGGGGAAAAGGGTTAAAAATATGTATGTCAGTTCAGAATTTAGATCAAGTACCTTGAACATAGATGTTACAGTTATTTCTTGAAAATTGTTCCCTTCCGAGTCAATTTGAGCTCATTTTCTGGAATTACAAGAGCTGCATGAGTCAACATGAAATCAGAATGGTGCAAAAGAAATATAGGATTAGGGTTTAAAATAGAATAGATAATTTGATTAGCTATATGTATAGTCAGCACTAATTTTAGTTTTTGGCTAAACTGTTTAAATTTTGATATGCCTTTTAAGAACATTCGATAAGAAGTGGAAATATTCAGTCATGTAGGTCTTAAATCGTTACATAACTATTTATTTCTTCATCCAAACTTGTTTCTAAGTGTAAATAATTTAGAGAGGACACTAGTCCGAAAAATCTGCCTCTATTCCAGCCTCTGATAGTTAGTAGAATCAGAAAGACTTGGCCTTGTTTTTACCTCCAAAGATACGTTTTTTTTCTAAAATTCTAATGATGACTGTCACTAAGTGTTGGGCATCACTGAAAATCCCCTCAAAACATGGCCTGTTTTTTCTGTCTCTACACCAGTAGACAACTTTCAAAGTAGCTATCTGAGGCTGGAATAGATAGAGGCTGATGTTTCAGTCTAAGAGAACACTAGTTCTATAAAGGTGTGATCTTACATACATCAGGGTTATTTTACCTTAATTATCCAAACAATACTAATTACATTGGATGACAATTAAAGCGTCTTGGTCAATTACTAGTTAATGAAGCAAAACACTAACAAATTAAATTAATACCTTCTTGACATGACATTATTTTCCTATTTAGTGATAGACATGATGTATATTTACACTTTATATAAGTGATTAGCATTGAAAAAGTGTTAAGCTACAAAGTTGGCCTACAATGGTTTAGTGAAAAAATAGCAATTGATATTTGAATCTTACATAGAAAGGATTTGATTATTGCAAGTAGAAATTATTTACCCTATAAAAATAAGAAAATTGGTTCCTAAATGTAAACAGATTGTAAAAAAAGTAAAGAAACATCTTGTACATATTGTTACACCTTAAGTTCACAAAGGATCCTTTTTGTCCTTGGCCAAACCTCTTGGCATTGATCTTTTCTGCTGGGTTGATGAGAATTATTATTCAAGGTGACTACACAGTTGATCGAGATTAGAACCCACAGACACCATTTGTTTCATGTAATCAAGCAAATGACATCATGTAAAGTTTCAATGCTTTAACTGACTGTGCTTAAAAAAAAAAAACCTTTCTTTATAAATATTATAAATTTATCTACTTCTTACATATAAATTGATTCATTATCATCATAATTATTTAACAATTATCAATAGAATAAAGTAAATTATTTAAAAGTGTTAAACAAATTTTCATATCAGACAATTATTGATTTTAGAAAATATTTATTTTATTTGATTATTAGGCGGTATGAGTACAGTAATTAGTATATAGTGTGTTTATTTGTATTTTAACAATATATTAACAATAAGATATATTAATTACTATTACTATAAATTGTTAATTACAGGTGTCATTGTTTCTTCAATCCATTAATACTTTGTCAAGTTTCTACAAAAATAAAAATTATTTGCGAATGAGTTCACTTATATTCATTTAAAGCAAAGTTCATCATCCATTCATTCATTGGTATAATTGTCCAAATATATGCTAGACTACATTACCCACCAAAAGTTTGAGCCTTCAAACCCATGTATGTCCAGAATTATGCACGTTTGAAAGTTAATCGTCTATTCTTGGGGAAACTGTCATATATAGAACAGACATCTATAGAAAAAGAAGGTGTAATTCATAGCGTAAGGTGTTCTTTTTATAGGAATTATGCAATTTTCTTGCAGCCTTTGTACTTCTGAAGACTATTTACATATATCCAAGACCCAAATCAACCCCCCAATATGGCGAATCAGTCCTTTAAGTGTAAAGAATTATCCCATTATTTTGATTTATTATCACAACATCAAGCAATCTCATCAAGTCTATATCCTGTCTGTCATATTTCTAAGATCCCGACCTTTATCAGCTTAATGGAAAGTTTTAGTCAAATGATTTCAAAATGAATATTCTATAAAATAATAGAAAAAAGGCTGATATGAATTATTTATTTTGTTGTCTCTATATAATCTAATAATCAAAGTATCTGAAGATATTATTAAATGTAATATACATCTACAAATAGATACTTTTACTACTCTTATCCTTTATTAACAATATCATATTCAATATACATATCTTAATGAAATTCAGATAGTTTTTATTAATAAGATAAATTCAGATAGTATTTAATACTCAGATATTGTGAATTGAATTCTTCAGGTTTTTTTTTCAGTCAAAATTTACATTATGTTTTATTCACGTGGAGTAATGGCTTTCTAATGTTGTCTCCTGATAATAGTCTAGGTTGGAAATGTTATATCTTTTATGAAAAATTTATGCTAGAGATATGTAGCTGTGAAATTCTTCAAACTAACAAAGTGTCTTCCAAAGTCAGTCTCATTAAAATAAGATTAAACTTTCGTTCTGTTTCTTTATTAGCTTTTATTTTTAATAAGACCACAAGAGTCTACAACGGCCCTCTTGAATGTTCGTCGAATTGATCTAACCTGATAAAACACTGCGTCACAAAATACCAATGCTGGAGAATAAAGAAATTTGATTGGAAGTCACAAGATTCAAGAGGGCTGTCGTTAGTCCCTAAATGAAATGGCTATAATGAAAATATAAGCTGAAAAAATAAAACAGAACGAAACTTAGGTCTAAGTTTAATTAGACTGTTCATAAATTTGTTGTAAAAAAAGACACAAAAAATGAATACTTAGCTAAAGCTAGATGAAACTATGTCAGTATAGGTCACAATGAGACATAGTGCTACACCACAGCCTATCTATCATCTTTATACACCCATATAAAATATAAATATAATTATATAGTTAATAACTGAATAGAACATTGATTGATTTACATAGTAGTTGAAAAAATCAGTCACATTGTATTCAACGAGTCAAAAGTAGAAGAAAGAAATGATCAATTTTTCAAGTAGTTGCAAAAGTCTGTCATAATCTACTTAGGCAGTCCCAATTTCATTTCACTCTAGAAGGTATAATTATTGACAGATTTTGGTCAATTGTTTATTATCACCCAAAAATATAAAAAAAATAATAATAATTGTTGTTCTTTGATTACACAAATCTTAACCGATTTTTAAAAAAATTGAAATTATTCAAAATCAGATAGAAATGAACTCCATCGAAAATCAAGAAATTAAAAAAAATCTGATTTATTGCTTATTAAGTGTATGACTAAAAGTTGAATATTTCATATTGATGGTGGTTGTTGTGATGACTAATGTTCTTATTCAAAAAACAATACGCCAGTGAGCATATATAAGATTGCCTGGCAAGTTTTATTTCACTTGTTCAATGATCTTTGACATACACAGCCTGTAGAACAAAGCAACTTGTTTCTATTCTAAAGGAATAGTTGACATTTGCTCATGTCATTCCATTCCCTTTTCATTTGTAAAGTCATTACACAAAGAGTTCTATGACTTATTATTCCATATTCATGCATTAAGAAAGAGCTAATGAAAAGGACTTGCAGGCTATGTTCTGTAAGAGATTGATATTCAACATGTAGAATATCTGTAGACAGAAATAGTCTTTAGAGACATGGAAATGACAAGCTGATTTGAAATCACTTACTGTTACTGAAAACCTGTAAATGATTGGCATGACAAATAAGATAGACAGCTTAATTTTCAAACACTAACTATTGATGGATTTTTCATGCTTTCTGTCCGTCTGTACACAAGGTCACCATTATATTCTCATGCTACTGAACATGTCACAAAAAAAAACCTTAAAAGCAATACAGTGTGTTGTAGAATGGAGAGAGTTTGAATTTTGTTGTCAATATCAATTTCTATCAATGTATTACTAGCAAGTGAAACAGGATTCAGAAAATTCTTGCTAAATGAATGGTTGGGGAAGATTTTTTAATGAAGCGTACAATACATTACCTCCACCTAACTTGTATTCTGGTAATAGATACTTATTATAAACATGCTGATATTAAATGAATACGTTGCTCTTATTTTTAATTTACCAGTTGATAGCAATAAATACTACCTGCATTACTTTAAGCTTAACCAGCTGATAGCAATAAATACTACCTGCATTACTTTAAGCTTAACCAGCTGATAGCAATAAATACTACCTGCATTACTTTAAGCTTAACCAGCTGATAGCAATAAATACTACCTGCATTACTTTAAGCTTAACCAGCTGATAGCAATAAATACTACATGCATTACTTTAAGCTTAACCAGCTGATAGCAATAAATACTACCTGCATTACTTTAAGCTTTACCAACTGATAACAATAAATACTACCTGCATTACTTTAAGCTTAACCAGCTAATATCTCTTAATTCTTACTACTTGCATTACTTTAAGCTTAACCAGCTGATAGCAATAAATACTACCTGCATTACTTTAAGCTTTACCAACTGATAACAATAAATACTACCTGCATTACTTTAAGCTTAACCAGCTAATATCTCTTAATTCT